CAAGGTGGTCAAGGCACAGCTTGGCATTATACATTTTAGGGAGACATAAGACATCAATCAGTATATTAGGTTGGTGCAAAAATAATTGCAGTTTTGCCATTACTTTTAATGCACTCCAGCCTGGGCAACATTACTTTTAATGGCAAAAACCGCAACTACTTTTGCACCAACCTAATATGTAAGATGTACATTGGTTCGGTCTAGAAAGGCAAAACAACTCAAAGTGGGAGGCGGCTTCCAGCTCACAGGTAGATAAGGACAAACAGTTGCATTTTTTTGAGTTTCTGATTAGCCTTTCCAAAGGAAGCAATCAGATATACATTTATCTCAGAGAGTGAAGGGATGACATTGAATTACATCTGTCCTTTGTCCGCAAGGAATTTCCTTGTGAACAAACTGTGAGAGAGGTATTGTCAGGCCTCTGAGCCCAAGCCAAGCCATCGCATCCCCTGTGACTTGCACGTATATGCCCAGATGCCCTGAAGTAACTGAAGAATCACAAAAGAAGTAAAAATGCCCTGCCTGTCTTAACTGATGACATTCCACCACAAAAGGAGTGAAAATGGCCAGTCCTTGCCTTAAGTGATGACATTACCTTGTGAAAGTCCTTTTCCTGGCTCATCCTGGCTCAAAAAGCTCCCCCACTGAGCACCTTGTGACCCCCACTCCTGCCCGCCAGAGAACAACCCCCCTTTGACTGTAATTTTCCTTTACCTACCCAAATCCTATAAAACGGCCCCACCCTTATCTCCCTTCGCTGACTCTCTTTTCAGACTCAGCCCCCCTGCACCCAGGTGATTAAAAAAGCTTTATTGCTCACACAAAGCCTGTTTGGTGGTCTCTTCACACGGACACGCATGACAGGTATATAGCTTTTTTTTTTTTTTTTTTAATCTTAGTAGCTATCTTTTTAGCAATAGAACGGGAGGCAGGTTTGTTCTAAACAGTTCCCAGCTTGGCTTTTCTCTTTGACTTGGCGGTTTTGGGGTCTGGAGATTTATTTTCCTTTCACAAACTGCAGGGCTGGTTGGCAGAAGTGCTGAACCCACACATTTGTACGTGTCCTTTTTTCCCCCCACTGCAGCAGACAGCGTCTTGCTTTGCTGCCCACGCTGGAGTTCAGTGGCACAATCATAGCTCCCTGCAACCTCAAACTCCTGGACTCAAGCAATCTTCCCACCTCAGCCTCCCAAACTGTTGAGATTATAGGTATGAGTCACTGCATCCAGCCACAATCTTCTTTTTTATAGCTCAATTAATGATACTTTATTGCTTTTTGTGTACCAAGAAATTGATCTGTGAACTTCCCTCATTGAAAATATACCACAATTTTTGTAACCTTGTTTTTTTCATATCTCTCTCTCTCAAAAATAGAAGTGGCCCAGGCCTCTCTGGACCTTAGGGAGGCCCTGAAAGCCAGAGAGGAATAAAGTAGATGCTTCTGATTCCAGCCCGAGGAAAGACAGTAACTTTGGGCTTTAACTTTTATCTTTGCTTAATTATTTTTTCCTTTGCAAAAAAGAAAGGGACTCAATTTCCTCAGTGGATGGCTCTATGATATTAAATGTGCAGCTTGTTGACTCCTTAGGCGTTGTGCTCTAAGTCTCTCTATGGCAGGCCTTGAAACCCAAACAGTTTATCAACGCCAGGCAATGTCTGTGGGGAAGTCACTCTGCAGGTGAGAGGAGAGCCTCCCTGGCCAGAGTCTTCCTGAGTTTCTATGTGGATCTTCCTGAATCAGGTCCTCATGTACAGGCTTGAGAGTCGAAGAAAGAAATTCCCACAGGGCACGGTGGCTCACGCCTGTAATCCCAGCATTTTGGGAGGCTGAGGCAGGCAGATCACTTGAGGCCAGAAGTTTGAGACCAGCCTGGCCAACATTGTGAAACTCTATTTCTACTAAAAAAACAAAAACTAGGATTACAAAGTACTGTAATCCTAGTACTTTGAGAGGCTGAAAAGGGTGGATCACTTGAGGCCAGAAATTCGAGACCAGCCTGGCCAACGTGGCAAAACCCTGTCTCTACCAAAAAATACAAAAATTAGCTGGCATGGTGGCATGCGCCTGTAGTTGAGGCACAAGAATTGCTCGAACCCGGGAGGCAGAGGTTGCAGTGAGCCAAGATCGAGCCACTGCACTCCAGCCTGGGAGACAGAACAAGAGTCTGTCTCAAAAAAAAGAAAGAAAAAAAGAAAAGAATGAAATTCCCACAGGGTCACATACACACATACTCAAACCTAAAGCCAAATGTGCACTCTCAAATCACCATTGCCTTTGCACTGGTTCCCTGATGCAAATTTCAATCTGTCAGTACAGCCAGGGACCAGCACAGGCTGCTTTCAATTGTGAAGTGTTTTCTGAAAAGCAAAAGGCACTGGGGAAGTGAGAGGGGAGGGAGGGAGAGTGAAGGGTGGAAGGACTTCGAAAACAGTGACTCCCTGGAGTTTCTCAGTTTCGGTCACCTTGGCCCCCTCTGCCTAACACACCCTTCTCGTTCTGTTTCCTGGGTCTGAGGATTCTGCTTTTCCCTTTTGCCATCCCTGGGCCACTCTGTCCTCTTCAGTGTCCTGGTCCAGTGAAGAGACTCTAGGGCATCAGTGCCAGAGAAATGCTGACACCATCACTTATACTGTATGCTTTTGGTCAGATTCTTTACTCTCTCAGAGCTGTTGGTGAGGCAGCTGGAAGGAGGAGAGATTAATATATGTAAACTTTTCATTAGGTAGAAAAAATATCAATAAACTATAACCAAAAAAGAAAGTCAAGCAAACTTTCAGAGGTATAATTTCAGGTTTGGGTTTTTAAATTCTCTGATGGAAGTATAACATACAAACAAAATAATGCAAATCATAGATGTACAGTTCAGCAAAATTTGAGGAAATGACTACCCTTGCCTAACAGCCACCCAGATCAGACACCCACGCCCTTGTCGAGTCTCCTTCCGTATGGTATTGGGCGGGCTTCTGTGATCCATAGATATGGGCCATGGGCTATGACTTCTAATGCAGCAGGAGGAGCTGCAGACAAAACCTCTCAGACACCGAGTTGTAGAAGGAAGGGCTTTATTCAGCTGGGAGCATCGGCAAGCTACTGCCTTAAAATCCGGGCTCCCAGAGTGCACAATTTCTGTCCCTTTTAAGGGCTCACAACACTAAAGATTTCACATGAAAGCGTTGTGATTGATTTGAGCAAGCAGTGGGTACGTGACAGGGGCTGCATGCACCGGTGGTCAGAGAGAAACAAAACAGGGCTGGGAGTTTCACTACGTTCTTTTATACAATGCCTGGAATCTATGAATAATATCGGTTTCTACGTTATGGGTTGATTTTTAACTACCGGGTTTAGGTCAGACAGGCCAAGGTCTGGTTTTGGGTACCGGGCTGCCTGTCTTGTTTTTTTCTTAAAACAGGTACTGAGTATAAAACAATATAAAGCAATATGAGAGGGTCTTTCTCTCTGTCCTCACTAAGGATAAGCCAAAGGTGCTGTGCCTTGCTCTCTCTTGGATCACTTTCTCTGGGGAAAGCTGGTGGCTGTGTCTAGAAGACACACAAGCAGCTCTTTTGAGCAAGGAGCTGAGGCCTCCCACCACCAGCCACGTGAATGCATGACATTGGAAGCAGATCCTCCAGCCGCAGTCCAGTCTTCAGATGACTGCAGCCCCGGCCAACATCTTGACTAGAACTTAATGAAAGACAGATCTTGAGCCAGCACCACCCACCTAAGCAACTCCCAGATTCATGACTCTCAAAACCATGAGATAATGAACATTTGCTGTTTTTGGCCGTGAAGTCATGGGGGAATTTGTTATGCATCAACAGATATCTAATATAGTTGGGCCACATTTGCCCAGGGCCAACCTCTGCAGCCACATCCAATCCTTATTCGTTTACTCACTCAGCAAGTATTTTTTTTTTATGCCAACCATTACGTCACCATACTCTGTAGCTGGACGCTGGGGCATTCGTGGTGAACGAAGCTGGCCCAAATGCTGCTGTGATGTAAAGGGAGATGGATAGAAACCACCCAAAGGAAACACATTAACAGCATTTGGCAAACTGTGGAGGAAATAAACAGGGACCCATAATCAAGACAATCGGGGTGATCCCTCGAAGGATGATCACAGAGGCCTTTCAGAGGAGGCAACGTCAGAGGTGAAACCAAAAGGATAAGAAAGAACCAGAGGTAAGAAGATCTGGGGGAAGGGATTCAAGGGGAGGAACAGCAGGTGCTAAGGCCCTGGGGAGGGATGCACACTGTGGCTAGAACATAAAGACCACATGGGGACAGGGCAACAAGATGAAATGGAAGAACCAACCAGTGGCTGGGTCCCTCCCCTCAGATCAAGTAGGCCAACCAATGAGAGTGGGTGCTATGATTTGGCTGTGTCCTCCCTCCAATCTCAAATTATAGCTCTCATAGTTCCCACGTGTCGTGGGAGGGACCTGGTGGGAGGTAAATAAGTCATGGGGGCAGGTTTTATGTTGTTCTCATGATAGTGAATAAGTCTCACAAGATCTGATGGTTTTACAAAGGGGAGGTCCCCCGCCCTGCACATGCTCTCTCTCTCTTGCTTGCCACCATGTAAGACATGACTTTGCTCCTCCTTTGCTCCTCCTTTGCCTTCCACCATGATTGTGAGGCCTCCCCAGTCACGTAGAACTGTGGTCAATTACACTTCTTTCCTTTATAAATTACGCAGTCTCAGTTATGTCTTTTTTTGGTGGAGTGGGGACGGAGTCTTGCTCTTGTCACCCAGGCTGGTGTGTAGTAGCACGATCTCAGCTCGCTGCAACCCCCATCTTTAAGTAATTCTCCTGCCTCAGCCTCCTGAGTAGCTGGGATTACAGGCACCTGCCACCACGTCTGGCTGATTTTTGTACTTTTAGTAGAGGCGGTTTCACCACGTTGGCCAGGCTGGTCTCGAACTCCTGATCTCAGGTGATCCGCCTGCCTCAGCCTCCCAAAGTACTGGGATTGCAGACGTGAGCCACCACGCTCAGCCTCACGTATGTCTTTATTAGCAGCATGAGAACAGACTAATACAGTGGGTTTCATTTGAAGAACATGGAACAAGAGGTGACATGACTATTGCAGAACCGTGTCAAGGTGCTCTCTTGTTGCATTATGTAGAAGAAAGAGAAAAGGTGGCAAGAGGGATTGGGAAGAAAGTGGGAAGTCACCATAGTATTGAGAGGATAGAGGACTATGGTGGCATCAGGGAAAGCGAGGGAATGGGAATATTGGAGAGATTTATATAAGGATTGACGAGAGATAAAGGAGAGAGGAATAAGAGATTAAAGGACTTGGGTTGCAGCAACTATCATGGAAAGAAAGCGTGGAAAAATAACAGATTCGTGGGACAGAGACAAAGATGTGGGGGAAAGTCAATAGACCAAGTTTGTGCATGGCAAGGTTGGGAAACTGTGGCACATCCAAGAGAGACATGAAGTAGTCCCTGGTCCTACCTTCCTGCCTTTTCCAGGGGAAAGTGATCCTAAGCCCATCATGTTAGGAGATGCTAAGCCAGGGCCAAACGACCCTAGGGAGCTTCCCCACCCTGCACGATAGACCCAGCCACTCCACCCACTTCCTGCCCCTGTACCCCTTTCTCCTTGTTTCTTATCCCCACAGCTGCCTTCCCTCAGACCTTTCCTGGCACTGATTATAGTTAGTGCTTCAAAGACTGCTTCCCTTGTTCACAAATAAGAAGCATTGAAGATTGTCACCAAACCAAGTTCCAGTCTAGGTGAACATGTTCAGTAGGGACACTGGGTGTCTCTTTCTCTCCCAAAACTAAGAAGTTCAACGTGCAATGTGTGTGCTGCTTCTCAACACAGCAGAAGCCATGGACCAGGATCCAATGTGTCCTCCTTTCTCCTGCCTGGTTCCACCCCCTGACCTGGGCACTTGTCTTTAGGGATGAAACTTGCTCTGCTCAGAACTCCCCACAGGTCTCCACACCCAGGTTGCACCTTGGGCCCTGGTTCCTGGCCCCTTGACTACCGTCCCTGTAGTCAACAACGCTGTATTGTACACTTAAAATTTGTTAAGAGATCACGTCGATCTCATGTTGAGTGTCCTCCCAAAGTGCCGGGATTACAGGTGTAAGCCACCGCACCTGGCCTACATTTTTTTTAACTTTTAAAGAGTATCCAGCGATAGGGTCAGGGTCAGAAGTCTTTTTTGCAGTCAGAAGGGCTGTGTCTCTGGACAGGGTTCCAGTGGGCATGGGGTGTGGCAAGTTCTCCTGTTCATGGACTCTGTCTAAGGAGTCCTCCAAGGCCTGTTCACCCAGAGGATAGCACCGAGTATGCTCAGGAGCAGAGGCACCTTCAGGAGTGGGAGAAGCAGGAAGTAGGCGCAGCTGGGCAGGGACCTGTGAGACGGAGAGAGTGACCAGTAGTAAGCTTCCTCCTCTGGGGAGTCCCAGGCTCTGCCTCACCCCTCCTTCCCTCGACGTCTGGTCCTATGCCCTCAAACCCAATGTCAGCATCAAGCCTGGTGGGTACCAGGGTCAGGCAGCTCCATGCTGAGGGTCACAGGCTCCTGACCTTCATTCAGCTCAGAATTAACCTTGAGTGTTAGGACCCAACAGATGCCGGAAGGTGAGGGATAGAGCAGAAGAGAGATATGGGAACCCAGGCAGGAACTGGCTCCCAGAAACAACTTCCAGAACAGATCCCTCAGCCACTGACGCCTGCAGGATCTCTGCTCTTGCTGGGAACAACCTCAAGGATGAAATATTGCTTTATAACCACCTTCACTCAAATTAAATATGATCACAAGAACAGCTCTTTCGCTTAAACTGCTTAACCATCTCAACCCCAAGGAGTGACCTCTCCGAGCTCAGCCCATGGCCAATCCTCCCATCCCTTGGGTCCCACTACACTGCCCCCATTCCAACTTCTCAAATGCTGCATTTTCTCCCCAAAACAGGCCGTTGTGCCATCTCTCCACCTTCCCAGCCCTCCACCTGTAGGACTTGTCTGACGCCCTCCCCGATCCTCTCTAAGACGAGCCCCTGTAACAAACCCTGTTGGCGCCCTGCCCCATATCCCCTTTGCCCACTTGAGCTCCTGGCAGCTGCAGGCAGTCTTGGCCCCACCAAAGATTTCCCAGTTCAGGCTCCCCTTCTCTGCCTGAGGTTATCTACAGGAGTGCACACATTTTCCTGTGCAGAGCAGGCCAGATGGGCCACAGAATTCATGCCCCCAGGAGTGCCTTCTGCCTGGAATATTCTGTCTCCAGTTCTGAGGAACTTTCTACACAATCTCTCAGAGGGTGCCCAAAGGGACTAAGCTCCAGTGTGTCCAGTTACTACAGTGTTAACCCCTTCATTACAGTGCATTTCATTTCCCTTTCCCTTTCCTGGTCTCATTTTCTGCTCTCTCAATGTACTTCCTGAGATTACCTCTCAATAAACAAATTGCTCCTAAGTCCCTGTCTCAGGACCTGATTTGGAGGAAACCCAAACTAAGACAGTCCCTTTGTTCTTCGTTTCTGTGGAACATCTTGTATTTCCTTGATAGCCCAAATCATGCCCCACCAGCTTCCCACACACCCTGGCACCCTATCTCTTTACATCTGCTTTATTTTCCTCCATAGTTATTATCGTTAGTTGACATATTTCCTTGATCTATCATCTATCTATCTGTCTCTATTACATATCTCTCTCTACCAGCGATCATCTCCATCTGTCTATTCAGCCAGCCAGTCAGCCATCTCTATCATCTGTCATATCATATCTCTATCTCTATCATCTGCCTATCTATCTGTCTGCCTGTCTGTCTGTCTGTCTGTCTGTTTATCTATCTGTCCGTCCGTCCGTCTGTCTGTCTGCCTGTCTGTCTATCTATCTATTTATCTATCTGGCCACTGTCTGAATCTACCTATTTGCAATTTCCTCAAGAGCACAATCTTGCCCCTTTATTCACTGCTGCATCTCCAGAATCTCCACCAGTTTCTGGCACATAACAAATAAATACCTGTTGAGTGGGTGAATAATCAAGGAAACCTGTGTCTAGGAAGCCCCACCCTATGAAAGAAGCTACACACATGGCAAAAGACAATGGGACACGTGCATTTTACCCTTCGCATTGGCTGGGCCTGGTGGGAGATCCAGGTGTCTTCACAGAGTTCTCAGTACTGGAGGCTGAAGATAAAGAACAGAGGCTCAGTGTCCTATGCCTGACTCTTCCCAGCTGAGTACCTGCCGTTCTGACTTCATAAAGCATAGGACGCTCAAGGAGGCAGCTGGACAGATGTTCTAGGACCATCATCTCCCCATAGGCAGACCGAAGCCCGGCTAGAGTCACAGAGCATCCCCCTCCAACCCTGTCCCAGTGGATGCCTTGCCCCGCTCTGGGGCCAGGTGGGCATTTCATAAACTCAGACCAGAGGATGACCAACTTCTCCCATGTTGGCGTCCCCCATCTCGTTGAAAATCGACGTGCTGAAGGTCAGTTAGGCTTAGGTTCCAAAACCCCCCATCCTTGCCAGTGTATCCACACACCACCACTACCCTCCAGTGCACACTGTCTCTCACACACACATTCTCACACCTGCACACACACTCTCACATGTGCACTCACGCAATGTGCTCTCATTGCGTGAGAGCTGCTCTCACACTCTCACACACTTACTCATACACCTGCTCTCGCACACACTCACACACACCTGCTCTCTCACACACTCACTCACACCTGCTCTCTCACACACTCTCACGCACTCACAAAGATCTGCTCTCACACACATTCACACACACCTGCTGTCACACACACTCTCACTCACACACACACCTGCTCTCACACTCTCACACACACCTGCTCTCACACACTCACACACACCTACTCCTGCACACACTCACACACACTCTCACATACACCTGCTCTCACACACTCTCACACACTCACACACCTGCTCTTGCACACACACACCTGCTCTCACACACACTCACTCACACACACCTGCTCTCGCACACACTCTCGCACACTCACTCACACACCTGCTCTTGCACACACACACCTGGTCTTGCACACACTCTCACACACACACACCTGTCACACACACACACCTGCTCTCACACACCTGCTCTTGCACACACACCTGCTCTCACTCACTCACACACACCTGCTCTCACACACTCTCACACACACTCACACACACCTGGTCTTGCACACACGCTCACACACCTGCTCACACACATGCCTTCACACCTGCACTCACTCTTACATGTTTGCACACCACTCACATTCACACACTTAAACACACACTCTCTCACTCACTCACACACGTATTTCCCACACACATTCACACAACACACTCTGTCCTGCTCTGATGCACCACACTAGGCCCCCACACGAGGCCCAGTTCTTCTCTCCTGAGCCAAAATTTCCGTGGCTGCTCTGCAGAGATGGCCTCAGACGCCTGAGAAAAGAGGCTCTTACCCGAGGAGACCAGCACTTGAACCTGGAAGAAGGGATCAGGCAGGAAGCCAGACAGGCCATCTTCCTGCAGTATTGTTGCAATCCCACATCGGTATTTTCCTGCATCGTCTGCCGTGAGGTTCTCCAATGTCACGGTGAAGGTGAGGTCCCCAGGATGGTCTGTGATGACCACTCGGTCACTCCTCACCATTCCCTCGGACCCTCTGGTCTCCACCATTTCATGCCAAATTGGCAAGCATGGTTGTCTGCACCAGTATTTGTTAAATGTCTTGTATTTCTCTTCATACTGACACTGAACGCTCAGGGACTCCCCCACGGTGCCCATCACAGTGCTGGGGCCACTCACAGTCAGACAGCCTGGAAAACACAAGTCCGTTTCCCCATCTTCACCTGGAAGAGCCTGGACCAGTGGAACCTTGAGTGTTAGGTCCTTTGCACACCCAGTGTTGCCTGAGGCTGGAGGAGGGAGCAGTCAGGAACCAGGGAGCTATGGGCTATTTGCAGGGGGACACCCAAGGAGATGCCCGGTGTGGGATGCTGAGACTCCAGAGGCCATGCCCAGCCTGGGTGGGCTCAGCCATCTTAGAGAGGGGAGAGGCTTAACCTCGATGGCCTCAGGCAGGTTCTGGGTCCCCCAGAAGTGTCAGTCCTGAGAAGAAACACCTGTCTTCATTGAACACCAAAGATTGAATGAAGCCACTAAGTACACTCTGAATAAATGGATGTTGGAGAGATGGATGGATGGATGGGTGGATGGATGGAGAGATGAATGGATGGATGGATGGACGGATGGACGGACGGACGGACGGATGGATGGATGGATGGATGGATGGATGGACAGACAGACGGATGGATGGATGGATGGATGGATGGATGAAATAGGAAAGGAAATAATATTGAGAACCAGGAAAAACCAGAAGCAGCCCAGTACGGAGGGCAAAGAGGAAGCCTGGGGCTTCTGGCTCTGTCTCCTTCCCAAATCATCTGTGGGCCTCATACTTGCAGTCCCTGCCCATATAGATTAGACCTCCTGTTTCCAGGTCTGGATCACAAAGAATATGGGGGCTGCCCATGGGGATATCAAGGAACCATGTAGAAAGGGGTTGTTCTTGTGATTCAAGGACATTTACGCCTGGATTTTTCCCCCGGGACAGAATCCTGTGGCGACACTAGCCATTGCTTGACATCTGTAGAGCTCAGCTCCACGCTGACACCCATCAGAGCTTCCTTCCCATCCCCACTTCTCTGCAGCACCCACCCGCCTTGGCATGTCCTGGGCCTCTTCTCCAGATCCTCTGCCCCCTCCAATATTTTGACATTACTCCCCCTCTTCCAGTCCCCTCTTTCATTTGTCCACCCACTCTGCAGGCTCTGGGTCCAAATGATTAGGACCCAGCCCCATAAACTCTCTGCTTCCTGCCTCAGGGGCCTCACCAGTCCTAAACAGCTGCTGTCTCATCTGCTCTTAACAGGGAGGTGGTTAACAAAGGGCAAAACGCTATTGAGAAATGGTTTTGGCAAAATACCAAGCTCCTGAAAAGGAATTGTGGATGTAATCTGTCTGCCTATCATCTATCTATCCATCCATCCATCCATCCATCTTTCATCTACCCACCCATCCATCTAGGTAATATATTGCCATCCAGTGATAGCGAGGCTTTGCTATGTTTTATTGTGAATTAAAAGAAAAATCTGGCCGGAGTGGTGACTCACACCTATAATCACAGCACTTTGGGAGGCCGAGGCGGGTGGATCACCTGAGGTCAGGGGTTTGAGACCAGCCTGACCAACACAATGAAACCCTGTCTCTACTGAAAAGACAAACAAATTAGCTGGATGTGGTGGTGGGCGCCTGTAATCCAGCTACTCAGGAGGCTGAGGCAGGAGAATCACTTGAACCCAGGAGGTGGAGGTTGCAGTGAGCCAAGATCGCACCACTGCACTCCAGCCTGGGCGACAGAATGAGATTGTCAAAAAGAAGAAAGAAAGAAGGAAAGAAGGAAAGAAAGAAAGAAGGAAGGAAGGAAGGAAGGAAGAAAGAAAGGAAGGAAGGAAGGAAGGAGGGAGGGAGGGAGGGAGGGAAAGAAGGAAGGAAAAAAAGCAGAAAAACTGTATCTTTTGCATCTTCATTTTCTTGTCTCACGTTTTCTCACCGTATTTCCCAGAAAGCAGGCTCAGGTGGCCCACTGACCTATTCTGCATTAGAACGCTGTCTGCCTCTCTGAAGCAGTGATTCTCACCTGGGTTGGAGGGCGGCGGCAACATTTGGCAATGACTACAGATATTTTTGGTTGTCCCAACTTAGAGTGGGGAATTGCTGCTGGCATCTGGTGGGTAGAGGCCAGGGATGCTGCTAAACATCCTACAATGCACAGGACAGCCCCCAACACACAGAATAATGCAGCCCCAAATGTCCACAGTGTTGAGGTCCAGGAGCCTTTCCCAGGGAGCTAACTGCCTCCTAGGCACAGGCTTGGGGGCAAGGAAGGGGTGGGCACCCCCTGTCCTCTCCTGCTATTGCTGCTGCTCTCAGCTCAGGCTCTGGGGGCGCTGTTAGCCTGCTCTTTCAGGTCCTTAAATTTCTCTCTTGATGATTTGGGACTGATTGCACAGATCTGGGAGGAAAAACACTGTGGGGCACACACTGAATCCCACCACAGAGTCTCCCTCCCCTTGGATATTCAGTCCAGACCCTGACCCTGAGCCAACATGGGCAGCCCCCTCCACCTCCACCCCGACCCCGCTGCCACCCAGCAAACTCCCCGCCTACCCAGCCCTGCAAAGAAACTCACTTTCTCCCTCCACCATCATTTACGGAAATTCTTGGACCAGGGCTGACCACAAGTTCCCAGCTGTCTCACCCTTCTGGGGGCCCATTATGTAGCAGCCCTGGGGCCAGCCCAGACCTGTGGGGACACCCAGGGTTCCCACACAGGGATGCAGCAGTGCCTCCAGATAGGTAAGTGAAGCTTTACAAGGAGGCGCAGCAGGAACTGACATTGAATTATAGAAGGAACAATGATCTTGGAAATAAAAGTATGTAGGTTTGGACCTTGACTGTGCCTTTTATAAACTGTTTAATCTAAATTATTTGCACCTCTATAAGCGAGCCTCAGTCTCCTGTTTTCATCAGGACTGCAATGAGAATTAAATTAGGTAATGGAAAACAAGACATGTATTACAGTGATTAGACTAGTAAGTACTGGTTTTCTGCCCCCTATTTCCCCTTCTTTTTGATGGATCGTGGAGGCATTCCTGATCTTAATAATGACGGTAATAATGATTAAAGTTGCCAAATCTACTTAGGGCTTACTGTGTGGGAAGCAGTTTACCATTTAATCCCCACCCTATCCCGATGAGAAGATTTGAGAAGCTTCTATGCACACCCCACTCCCTCTTTCTTGATATCATTTCTTCCTCTTGCCCCTTGCCAGCCTTTTCTCATGCCCGCCTCACCCTGACCCGCCAGAGCAGACCCCCCTGCACCCAGGACCTGCCCTGCTCACCTGGGACACAGAGAAGGAGCAGAGCTGACGGCAGCAGGGCAGCCCCAGCCCTCTGGGTCATCTCACCAGCATGGACGTCCCTCGTGGCAGCAGGGTCTGAGGCTGGAGCCCAGTCGCAGAAGGTCAGCTCGTCTGTCCCCTCGTCTGTCCACTCTTCTGTCCCCTCTTCTGCTGCTCTGGACACTTCTCCTTTCCTTCTCCGGCCTCTTTGTTTCCTTCTCCGGCCTCTTCTGGGTTTGGTTCTCAGAGCTGGTGCCAGGATGGAGGAAGCTGGGGCCACGGGGCGCTATGTGGTTAGGTGAAACAGTTTCGAGAACTTGGACGAAGTTCTTCTTAATAAAATATGTTTGCATTTGCTGTTCCCCTTTCTGTTCCCAGTAAAGACAACGCGTCCCTCCCACTACCCACAGCTGACAGGCCTGCCCTTCTCCAAATCACAGCACAGCCCAGGACCAGTGAGACTGGGCCAGCTGCCATCTGGATTTTCTGGGCAGGTCTTCCCCTCTGTGAATGGCCAGTTTTCTGTGGCCAGCATGAGCCGCCCCAGGGTATGGCTCAGCATTCACCGGATGAGACCAGCTATTTGCAGAGCCTAGTGTAAAATGAAACGTAGGGTTCCAAAATTATTAAGAATTTCAAGATGGTGACAACCAAGCATTAAACGTGGGACCCTTCTAAGAGCGGGGCCTGTGAGACTGCACGGGATAGGGGCACACCCACAATGCCCGCTGGTCTATCTCTGATCCTTGGTGGTACAGATAGGCTGGGTGCAACCTCAGAGCCTCTGACCTCTTAACCCCTTGGTCTTGCTCTGACCTCAGCAGACCCCAGAGGTCCTTGTCTTGGTCAAATGCCTGACCGTTTCCACAGACCTGGCACCACGCAGAGCTTGGTGGACCATCTATAAGCCTTGCTTTTGACCTGCGTGGCTCTTTTTGTCGCCCAAGATGACCACATATAACAGTTCCAATATATCAAGAGCTAACTCCGGGAACCTGGCCAGAAGTGTGCCCGATATACACAGAATGGCTGTGGAGGATTTATAAATGCAAGCACAGCCTCAGAATGCCTCATCCGGGGACTTAGATTCCTGGAACTAGGAAACTCTAAAACCCTGGCATTCTGTTATCAAATGTCTCCTCTTACTTTGGTGTTTCAGTAAATGTATTTCCTGCTTGTTCATTTTTTTTCTGCATTCGGAGTCCTCATATTTCTGTGTGTGTGCACGTGTGTGTATATGTGTGTGGTATGTGGGATATGTGTGTAGTGTGTGTGGTGTGTGTAGTGTGTGTAGTATGTGTGCTATGTGTGTATGTAGGTACATGTGATGTATGTGCATGGTGTGTGGGATGGTGTGTGTGTAGTGTGTGTATGTGGTGTGTGGGTGTGTGGTGTGTGTGAGATGTGTATAGTGTGTGTATATGTGTGTGGTGTTTGGGGTCAGGTGTGTAGTGTATGTGTGTGCATGTGTGGGGGGATGGTGTGTGTGTTGTGTGTGGTGTGAGTGGTGTGTGTGTGTGAGTGGTGTGTGTGGTGTGAGTGGTGTGTGGTGTGGTGGTGGTGAGTGGTGTGTGTAGTGTGGTGTGTGTGGTGAGTGGTGTGTGTGGTGTGGTGTGGTGTGTGTGGTGTGAGTGGTGTGGTGTGGTGTGTGGTGGTGTGAGTAGTGTGTGAGTGGGTGTGTGTGGTGTGTGAGGTGTGAGTGGGGTGTTGGAGATGTGTGTAGTGTGTGTATATGTGTGTGGGTGTTGGGGTCGTGTGTGTAGTGTATGGGTGTGCTGTGGGGGGGGTGGTGTGTGTGTAGTGTGTGTGTGATGTGAGTGGTGTGTGTGTGTGGACTGGTGTGTGTGGGATGTGTGTAGTGTGTATGTGTGTAATGTGTTTGTGTGTGTGTGTGGGGTGGGTGGTGTAGTGTGTATGTTTGCATGTGTGGTGGTGTGCCAGGTGGTGTGTGTGTAGTGTGTGTATGTGCATGTGTGTGGTGTGAGATGTGTGTACATGTGGTGCATATGTACGGTATGTGGGGTAGGATGTGTGTAGAGTGCATGGTGTGTGTGAGATGTGTGTAATGTGTATGTGTGTACATGTGGTGTGTATGGTGTGTGGGGTGGTGTGTGTAGTGTATGTATATGTGTGCATGTGTGGGGGTGGGAGTGTGTGTGGTGTGTGTGTGTCCATGAGTGGTGTATGTGTGTGGTGTGTGAGGTGATGTGTGTAGCGTGTGTATATGTGTGCACATGTGGGGGTGTCGTGTCTGTGGTGTGTGTGTGTGTGTTCATGCATTGTGTGTGTAGTGTGTGTATGTGTGTGCATGTGTGGGTGTGGGGTGTGTGGGGTGTGTGTCCATGCATGGTGTATGTGTGTGGTGTGTGAGGTGGTGTGTGTAGTGTATGTGTGTGCATGTGTGGGGGTGGGAGTGTGTGTGGTGTGTGTGTGTCCATGCGTGATGTATGTGTGTGGTGTGTGGGGTGGTGTGTGTAGTGTGTGTCTATGTGTGCATGTGTAGGGGTGTGCTGTGTGTGGTGTGGTGTGTGTGTGTCTGTGCATTGTGTATGTATGTGGTGTGTGGGGTGGTGTGTGTAGTTTGTGTATGTGTGTGAATGTGTGGTTGTGGGGGTGTGTGGGGTGTGTGTGTGTACATGTTGTGTGTGTGTGTGGTGTGTGGGGTGGTGTGTGCATGTGTGGGTGTGGGGGTGTGTGGGTATGTGTGTGTACATGTGGTGTGTGTGTGTGGTGTGTGGGGTGGTGTGTGCATGTGTGGGTGTGGGGGTGTGTGGGTATGTGTGTGTACATGTGGTGTGTGTGTGTGTGGTGTGTGGGGTGGTGTGTGCATATGTGGGTGTGAGGGTGTGTGGGGTGGTGTGTGCATGTGTGGGTGTGTGGGGATGTGTGGGTGTGTGTGTGTACATGTGGTGTGTGTGTGGTGTGTGGGGTGGTGTGTGCATGTGTGGGTGTGGGGGTGTGTGGGTATGTGTGTGTACATGTGGTGTGTGTGTGTGGTGTGTGGGGTGGTGTCTGCATGTGTGGGTGTGGGGGTGTGTGGGGTGTGTGTGTATGTGGTGTGTGTGTGTGGTGGTGGGGTGGTATGTGCATGTGTGGGTGTGTGGGGGTGTGTGGGTGTGTGTGTGTACATGTGTGTGTGTGGTGTGTGGGGTGGTGTGTGGGGTGGTGTGTGCATGTGTGGGTGTGGGGGGTGTGGGTATGTGTGTGTACATGTGGTGTGTGTGTGTGTGGTGTGTGGGGTGGTGTGTGCATGTGTGGGTGTGAGGGTGTGTGGGGTGTGTGTGTGTACATGTGGTGTGTGTGTGTGGTGTGTGGGGTGGTGTGTGCATGTGTGGGTGTGAGGGGATGTGTGGGTGTGTGTGTGTACATGTGGTGTGTGTGTGGTGTGTGGGGTGGTGTGTGCATGTGTGGGTGTGGGGGTGTGTGGGTATGTGTGTGTACGTGTGGTGTGTGTGTGTGGTGTGTGGGGTGGTGTGTGCATGTGTGGGTGTGGGGGTGTGTGGGGTGTGTGTGTGTACATGTGGTGTGTGTGTGTGGTGTGTGGGGTGGTGTGTGCATGTGTGGGTGTGAGGGTGTATGGGGTGTGTGTGTGTACATGTGGTGTGTGTGTGTGGTGTGTGGGGTGGTATGTGCATGTGTGGGTGTGTGGGGGTGTGTGGGTGTGTGTGTGTACGTGTGTGTGTGGGTGTGGGGTGGTGTGTGCATGTGTGGGTGTGGGGGGTGTGGGTATGTGTGTGTACATGTGGTGTGTGTGTGTGGTGTGTGGGGTGGTGTGTGCATGTGTGGGTGTGAGGGTGTGTGGGGTGTGTGTGTGTACATGTGGTGTGTGTGTGTGGTGTGTGGGGTGGTGTGTGCATGTGTGGGTGTGGGGGGGTGTGGGGTGTGTGTGTGTACATGTGGTGTGTGTGTGTGGTGTGTGGGGTGGTGTGTGCATGTGTGGGTGTGGGGGGTGTGTGGGTGTGTGTGTGTACATGTGATGTGTGTGTGTGGTGTGTGGGGTGGTGTGTGCATGTGTGGGTGTGTGGGTGTGTGGGTGTGTGTGTACATGTGGTGTGTGTGTGTGGTGTGTGGGGTGGTGTGTGCATGTGTGTGGAGAGGAAGCAGGAGCTGGGAGTGATATAGATGTCTCCTCTTGCAGCAGCCACAGCCTGTGTGTGTTCCATTTTTTTTAGCTAGGACCAGACACTTTGCCAAATGCAAAGGACATGGCAATGCCACAGGGAACCCACCTTTGAAGCAGCTGTGCTCTGGGCCCTGGAGTCCCCCAGGAGATGACAAATTCCTTGAAGAGATGGCCCACATCTGGGACTCCCAGGCTTTTTCCATGTCAAGGCCAGCATCTGGAGCCACTGTCCCCTCCCTAGGAGGCCCTTGTCCTTCTGTCTCTGAAACCTGTCCTGGAAAATGCTCTCCTCTCCAGGAGGGCAGAGCTAGGGGAGGACTGAGAATAATGAACACTGGCCGTGCGGCACCGAAGGGCGGGGAGCCTGGGGCCCTGCCTGGCACTGCACCACACTGAGACGCCCACCATCGCTGCCCTGGGGGGACAGCTCTTGGGGCTTCCAGAAAATTCAGATCTCATCTGGGAGGGGTGCATTCTTAGGGCAAACTCTGGGCATGTGATGTGTAGGACAGTGTGAGCAGCCCACACATTTATCCCTGTTATCCCTGCCTTTCAAGGCTGTGCTTGTCTTTCTGCTTCCTCGAAGACCGTCATCCTCCCTTCTCATTCTCCCAGGATGAGCTCAGGCCACATCTCTCCTGGAAGGCATCCCTGACTGCTCCAGGCCTTCCAGACCCCTCCCTCTGGGGTCCTTGTTGCCTGCAATGCTTATTTCTGTATTTAATCTCATGTCCCTGTGTTGTCATTGTCCTGTTGCACGGCATCCATTTTCAGGTAAGGCACAAAGGCAGGACCGATCTGGGCACCCAGAGATGCAGATGGAGCTCGGCCCCAGCCTTGTGAGCTGAATTGGAGGGTGAGAGCTCTGATCCTTCCATATTTTCCAGGAAAGGGGATCGGGAATGTATGAAAGCATTGGGCCTCTCTTCTCTCACCTCTATCCATTTGGGGAGTGGTTCTCAGTATCCTGTGCATCATGGTGAGAATGGGCAAATGCCCAAGGGTGGTGGACCCCACTGCCCGCTTTCCTCCCTCCCCACTGGCACTCAAGGAAGACATCACCAAGAAGGCAGGCTCCCGACCAGCTCTGGGCATGGGATGCCTCTTTGGGATCTTGTTACAAATACAGGGCTCTCTAGGGAGCAGGGTGTGGGGAGGGTCTTCCCAACATGGGGGCTGGGGCACTATAGGGAGCCTGGCTCAGAGAGGGTCTCTACCTGACTCTGATGATGTGGGCCATGTAGCACAGTGAGGA